TTCGTGCCGGATTTGTTGATGTGTCGGCATTCGTGCCGGATTTGTTGATGTGTCGGCCTTCGTGCTGGAAATGTGGTTGTCGGCCTTCGTGCCGACGTTTTTCTTGCAGGTTTTGGAAACCTCCCCGTGCAGGGGAGGTGCTGCCAAAATTTTCAACTTTTCTTTACACTCCTTATATTTTTATCTTGTCACTCACGTGCAATCTCCTCTCTTTTTTGCAGCATCAATCGGGTGGGGCGTCGAACCATGTCGAAGGGTCGCCGGCATCGCACGTCGGGCCATCCCCACCTGGACCGTCGCCGGGATCGCACGCTGGGGCGTCCCACCCCTCACAGTCGCCGTGAGCCGCCTTCGGAGTCGTTTTTTTGTATTGAACTTGTGAACTTGGAATAGTGTGTACTTTTGAACGTGTGGTTTGTAATATATTGTGGATTTCGAACAAATTTGGTCGTTTGTGATATATAAATGTGGTTTGTGACATATTGTTGTTGATTTGTGGTTTGGTTTGTGATATATATATATATGCTTTGTTGTTTACATGGAAAAGCAAAAAACAAAAAAAAAGAATTTTAGAGGTGGCTTCCCCGAGTGCCTGTGCTGTGACACTCGGGGAAGAGGGATTTTTATAAAAAAAAAACAAATTTCTTCCCCGAGTGCCTGAACTTCGGCACTCGGCAAAGAGTATTTAAAAAAAAATTCAAAAATCTTTCCCGAGTGTTGCACTCGGGGAAGAAAATCAAAAAAAAAAAAACAACGTCGGCCGCCGGCCAACGGCGTCAAGTTTTCCCCGAGTGCCAGCACGGCACTCGGCAAAGCCTTCCCCGAGTGCACGATTTTTGACACTCGGGGAAGGCGACTTTTCCGTGAGAGGATTAGCCAGAGGCTCTTCCCCGAGTGTTGCACTCGGGGAAGGCTTCCCCGAGTGCAACTGGGCCTTCCCCGAGTGCAACCGGCACTCGGGGAATCCAGCGGTTCCTGTAGTGCATGCGTCGGTATACTTAAATCATGTGCTCCCATAGATAACAGAGGATGTTTGCTACATGTAATATGTCGATATCAAAATCAAAATTATGGATTTACATTCAAATTCATGTGTTGAAAGAATAATGCAAATAAAAAATCCAAATAAATTCAAAGTTTGGCCATTGATCGACGAGATTGTGAGTTTCCAACATTTTTTTTAACTTGGTCTGAATTCGGGATACATTCCATGATTATATTATGTATTTCTGTATGGGAAGGTTTAGGCTTATCATTTTGGGGTATTGTCTATATATGGGTACCAATCAGAAAGAAAGTTAATGAGATACTTGCAGTCATCATCAGCAAGGTCTGGGACGGGAATGAGAATAGTTGAGCGGCAGCCAGCCAGGCACAAGCACGGTACACTGGTGGTGCGCAGCACTTGTTAGCTTGAGAAGCAACGAAAGTGACACACCTGGCTTCACTGTGGCCGGCGAAAAGGCTTTGCCAAGTCCGCCAGAGAGGTGCGGTAGTGTCGATTGGCACCTCGTTACCGTTATGAAAAATACTTGCTAGGTAAGCTCACATGCTCCTGAAATAGATCACAAAAGAGAAGACGATCTGTGCTGTCTTGTTTTGTAAGGGAAAAAGGGCTGGTATGCAAAATCTTGGAGTGCTAGGGCCCAAAAGTGATCAACCAACCAGAAGGGCAGTCTCGTAAATGGCTGTATATTTTCTTGTTCTCGGAACCTCCATCACGTGCTGTCAGGACTCTCCGAGGCCAGCCAGGTATAGCGACGGCATCGTCTAGTGATGCGAGCCCCCCGTTCCAGTCCCTCTCCCACGCGTACACTCCAACTTTCGTCTTCCTGCACACCCGTCAGCCATGGAAGTCGAAGCTCCACTCCCCTGCACTGAAGCCGGGGGGCGTGCACTGCAGCGCATGTGCGTCCGATCGACGGACCGCTACTTCTTCAAGTATGATACGATTCTTACCTGACAGGTTCTCTGGTGCAACTGTTTTTGCGATTTACAAATACACATGTACACATTAATATGCATCATCCATGCAATTCATGGCTGAGTCATTTATTAGTTAAATTTGCACGAATCTTTGCTTCACGGTATACCTCTCATTTAGAAAATTCACACAATAATTGTGGGTGCCCACAAATCATTAGCAGTATACCTCATCAATTGATTGAAAATGTTTAACAAAATACGCCACCAATGAATACTTTCATTTGCTTGACTATTGGTGTATGTATAAATATTTATGCCAGTAGATAAACATACAAAAGGCACTCCTAAAGTAGTTTCAGGGGTGCAAGAGTAGTGTTCAGATGATTAACTTCTAAATTGTTGCCTCGTTGTGGACTTATTATTAGTTCTGTTGTACGCAAACTATTGGGCATGTTACTTCTTCATCAGGGAAACTGGTCAACATGTGGGGGACGTGTTCATGATGCAAGGCAGTGGCAATGGAGGAAGCGGTAGTAACAGTAGAGACAACCAGTGGTCTGATCATGATGCCGTTGACGTGAAGTCATTCATTGTGGACTCTGGCGCGTCAGTTCATGCAACGGGCGACCCGAACCTCTTCTCTTACTTGGAGGATACCACCACCAACATGCGCCTTTGCACGGCCAACGGGTCGACGATGGACATAACTGGACGGGGCACCGTGCGGCATCACAACATCACTCTGCACGGCGTCCTGTTGGTGCCCAGGCTAGCTGTGAACATAGTGTCCGTGTCCAAACTCGGCGAGTTGGACTACACTGTTGAGTTCACACGTACCAATTGTTTCATCCGGGACGCCGCACAGGGGACCTTGTCGGGGAAGGACACCTCGTCAATGGCCTGTTCGAGCTTGATTTTCTGCAGGCCCCACGCACTTGACTGTGCTAGTTCCGATCGGCGTTTTAAATCATAGTAATATATACGCTGGTGATCCGCCGGCAAGAAAGGTTCATGGTACGGTGTGTGAAGTGTTTGCCACATAAAATGCTAGTTGGTCAACTGTGGCTCCGACTGATTTGCTTGCCACAAATTGTTCTCATCCTATTCACATGTGCTGTGTGTTACCCATCTTGGAGTGGAGCTATTTACTATGTGATTTGTCTTGTGTACTCTTGGCCCTATTCATCAAGCTATATATGATATTAAGGTTCGCCAGATAATTGTAATCCCTCCATTTAAAATTATAGATCATATTAGATTTATAGTGAGACAGATTTTCAAACTTTGACAATGATTTAATAATCGAACAGATATTAGCATCCACATGCTCAAATAAATTCACCAATTAGGACATATTTCATACAGAATTTAATAAAGCAAATTTAGTGTATTTTTCACTGAAGCTAGTTAAAGTTTGAGGGAGATTTGACTTAGGACAAAACTAAATTGACCTGTAATTTGGAACAGGAGTAGAAAATTTTTGTCGTTTCCTCTAAATATCCCAAAAATAAATTTAGTTTATCATGTGAGTTACAAGCTGTTACTTTCTATACATGAAATGTTTATATTGATTCGGCTTTTCTACAAAAGGGTACATATGTATCTTTTGTCATGAACCGTATCCGTTAGCTCCAAGATTTTTTCAAGATACCAAGCAATGCTGCAAAAACAAGGAGACAAGACAAGTGCTCATGTGGTGGAGTTGGGGTCGGGATTCTTCCCGGATGCCATGATATTTGATAGGAGCCACTAACATAACTTCCCTTTGTGGTCAATAACACATGGACCTGATAGGCGTGATGCCACAAGTCAGTGAATTTACATCGGAGAAACTACTTCTGCAGCTTATCATGGTTTGCCATTTTGTGGGCAGGTATGGGAGGAGGATGAGGGGCACAAAGAGAGTGGTTGCTAGAATATTTGGTCCAAAGGCGTTATGAAGCACATGTCTGACAAGCAAGCAGGCATGTGGTCTTGTACCATCCTATGTCCCTATATAACCCATTTTAAGGCACAGTACCTACAAACTAAAGTAGTTGGATTTACCATCAAGAAGTCTAATGACATTGTAAATCCCCTCTCATCATGGTTCTTCCATGATGCTGTTTAGATATATTTGAGATGATTCTTAGTGTTTTATTATGTTTGTTTCTGGCATTAGGCAGTGTGCTCGCACTTGTGAGGCAAATGAGAGTGCACTAATTCATGCGTCGGTATACTTAAATCATGTGCTCCCATAGATAACTGAGGATGTTTGCTACATGTAATATGTCGACATCAAAAAATCAAAATTATGGATTTACATTCAAATTCATGTGTTGAAAGAATAATGCAAATAAAAAATCCAAATAAATTCAAAGTTTGGCCATTGATCGATTTAGATTGTGAGTTTCCAACATTTTTTTAACTTGGTCTGAATTCGGGATACATTCCATGATTATATTATGTATTTCTGTATGGGAAGGTTTAGGCTTATCATTTTGGGGTATTGTCTATATATGGGTACCAATCAGAAAGAAAGTTAATGAGACACTTGCAGTCATCATCAGCAAGGTCTGGGACGGGAATGAGAATAGTTGAGCGGCAGCCAGCCAGGCACAAGCACGGTACACTGGTGGTGCGCAGCACTTGTTAGCTTGAGAAGCAACGAAAGTGACACACCTGGCTTCACTGTGGCCGGCGAAAAGGCTTTGCCAAGTCCGCCAGAGAGGTGCGGTAGTGTCGATTGGCACCTCGTTACCGTTATGAAAAATACTTGCTAGGTAAGCTCACATGCTCCTGAAATAGATCACAAAAGAGAAGACGATCTGTGCTGTCTTGTTTTGTAAGGGAAAAAGGGCTGGTATGCAAAATCTTGGAGTGCTAGGGCCCAAAAGTGATCAACCAACCAGAAGGGCAGTCTCGTAAATGGCTGTATATTTTCTTGTTCTCGGAACCTCCATCACGTGCTGCTGTCAGGACTCTCCGAGGCCAGCCAGGTATAGCGACGGCATCGCCTAGTGATCGAGAGCCCCGTTCCAGTCCCTCTCCCACGCGTACACTCCAACTTTCGTCTTCCTGCACACCCGTCAGCCATGGAAGTCGAAGCTCCACTCCCTGCACTGAAGCCGGGGCGTGCACTGCAGCGCGCATGTGCGTCCGATCGACGGACCGCTACTTCTTCAAGTATGATACGATTCTTACCTGACAGGTTCTCTGGTGCAACTGTTTTTGCGATTTACAAATACACATGTACACATTAATATGCATCATCCATGCAATTCATGGCTGAGTCATTTATTAGTTAAATTTGCACGAATCTTTGCTTCACGGTATACCTCTCATTTAGAAAATTCACACAATAATTGTGGGTGCCCACAAATCATTAGCAGTATACCTCATCAATTGATTGAAAATGTTTAACAAAATACGACACCAATGAATACTTTCATTTGCTTGACTATTGGTGTATGTATAAATATTTATGCCAGTAGATAAACATACAAAAGGCACTCCTAAAGTAGTTTCAGGGGTGCAAGAGTAGTGTTCAGATGATTAACTTCTAAATTGTTGCCTCGTTGTGGACTTATTATTAGTTCTGTTGTACGCAAACTATTGGGCATGTTACTTCTTCATCAGGGAAACTGGTCAACATGTGGGGGACGTGTTCATGATGCAAGGCAGTGGCAATGGAGGAAGCGGTAGTAACAGTAGAGACAACCAGTGGTCTGATCATGATGCCGTTGACGTGAAGTCATTCATTGTGGACTCTGGCGCGTCAGTTCATGCAACGGGCGACCCGAACCTCTTCTCTTACTTGGAGGATACCACCACCAACATGCGCCTTTGCACGGCCAACGGATCGACGATGGACATAACTGGACGGGGCACCGTGCGGCATCACAACATCACTCTGCACGGCGTCCTGTTGGTGCCCAGGCTAGCTGTGAACATAGTGTCCGTGTCCAAACTCGGCGAGTTGGACTACACTGTTGAGTTCACACGTACCAATTGTTTCATCCGGGACGCCGGCACAGGGGACCTTGTCGGGGAAGGACACCTCGTCAATGGCCTGTTCGAGCTTGATTTTCTGCAGGCCCCACGCACTTGACTGTGCTAGTTCCGATCGGCGTTTTAAATCATAGTAATATATACGCTGGTGATCCGCCGGCAAGAAAGGTTCATGGTACGGTGTGTGAAGTGTTTGCCACATAAAATGCTAGTTGGTCAACTGTGGCTCCGACTGATTTGCTTGCCACAAATTGTTCTCATCCTATTCACATGTGCTGTGTGTTACCCATCTTGGAGTGGAGCTATTTACTATGTGATTTGTCTTGTGTACTCTTGGCCCTATTCATCAAGCTATATATGATATTAAGGTTCGCCAGATAATTGTAATCCCTCCATTTAAAATTATAGATCATATTAGATTTATAGTGAGACAGATTTTCAAACTTTGACAATGATTTAATAATCGAACAGATATTAGCATCCACATGCTCAAATAAATTCACCAATTAGGACATATTTCATACAGAATTTAATAAAGCAAATTTAGTGTATTTTTCACTGAAGCTAGTTAAAGTTTGAGGGAGATTTGACTTAGGACAAAACTAAATTGACCTGTAATTTGGAACAGGAGTAGAAAATTTTTGTCGTTTCCTCTAAATATCCCAAAAATAAATTTAGTTTATCATGTGAGTTACAAGCTGTTACTTTCTATACATGAAATGTTTATATTGATTCGGCTTTTCTACAAAAGGGTACATATGTATCTTTTGTCATGAACCGTATCCGTTAGCTCCAAGATTTTTTCAAGATACCAAGCAATGCTGCAAAAACAAGGAGACAAGACAAGTGCTCATGTGGTGGAGTTGGGGTCGGATTCTTCCCGGATGCCATGATATTTGATAGGAGCCACTAACATAACTTCCTTTGTGGTCAATAACACATGGACCTGATAGGCGTGATGCCACAAGTCGAGTGAATTTACATCGGAGAAACTACTTCTGCAGCTTATCGTGGTTTGCCATTTTGTGGGCAGGTATGGGAGGAGGATGAGGGCACAAAGAGAGAGTGGTTGCTAGAATATTTGGTCCAAAGGCGTTATGAAGCACATGTCTGACAAGCAAGCAGGCATGTGGTCTTGTACCATCCTATGTCCCTATATAACCCATTTTAAGGCACAGTACCTACAAAGTAAAGTAGTTGGATTTACCATCAAGAAGTCTAATGACATTGTAAAATCCCCTCTCATCATGGTTCTTCCATGATGCTGTTTAGATATATTTGAGATGATTCTTAGTGTTTTATTATGTTTGTTTCTGGCATTAGGCAGTGTGCTCGCACTTGTGAGGCAAATGAGAGTGCACTAATTCATGCGTCGGTATACTTAAATCATGTGCTCCCATAGATAACTGAGGATGTTTGCTACATGTAATATGTCGGCATCAAAATCAAAATTATGGATTTACATTCAAATTCATGTGTTGAAAGAATAATGCAAATAAAAAATCCAAATAAATTCAAAGTTTGGCCATTGATCGACGAGATTGTGAGTTTCCAACATTTTTTTTAACTTGGTCTGAATTCGGGATACATTCCATGATTATATTATGTATTTCTGTATGGGAAGGTTTAGGCTTATCATTTTGGGGTATTGTCTATATATGGGTACCAATCAGAAAGAAAGTTAATGAGATACTTGCAGTCATCATCAGCAAGGTCTGGGACGGGAATGAGAATAGTTGAGCGGCAGCCAGCCAGCCACAAGCACGGTACACTGGTGGTGCGCAGCACTTGTTAGCTTGAGAAGCAACGAAAGTGACACACCTGGCTTCACTGTGGCCGGCGAAAAGGCTTTGCCAAGTCCGCCAGAGAGGTGCGGTAGTGTCGATTGGCACCTCGTTACCGTTATGAAAAATACTTGCTAGGTAAGCTCACATGCTCCTGAAATAGATCACAAAAGAGAAGACGATCTGTGCTGTCTTGTTTTGTAAGGGAAAAAGGGCTGGTATGCAAAATCTTGGAGTGCTAGGGCCCAAAAGTGATCAACCAACCAGAAGGGCAGTCTCGTAAATGGCTGTATATTTTCTTGTTCTCGGAACCTCCATCACGTGCTGTCAGGACTCTCCGAGGCCAGCCAGGTATAGCGACGGCATCGTCTAGTGATGCGAGCCCCCCCCGTTCCAGTCCCTCTCCCACGCGTACACTCCAACTTTCGTCTTCCTGCACACCTGTCAGCCATGGAAGTCGAAGCTCCACTCCCTGCACTGAAGCCGGGGCGTGCACTGCAGCGCGCATGTGCGTCCGATCGACGGACCGCTACTTCTTCAAGTATGATACGATTCTTACCTGACAGGTTCTCTGGTGCAACTGTTTTTGCGATTTACAAATACACATGTACACATTAATATGCATCATCCATGCAATTCATGGCTGAGTCATTTATTAGTTAAATTTGCACGAATCTTTGCTTCACGGTATACCTCTCATTTAGAAAATTCACACAATAATTGTGGGTGCCCACAAATCACTAGCAGTATACCTCATCAATTGATTGAAAATGTTTAACAAAATACGACACCAATGAATACTTTCATTTGCTTGACTATTGGTGTATGTATAAATATTTATGCCAGTAGATAAACATACAAAAGGCACTCCTAAAGTAGTTTCAGGGCTGCAAGAGTAGTGTTCAGATGATTAACTTCTAAATTGTTGCCTCGTTGTGGACTTATTATTAGTTCTGTTTGTACGCAAACTATTGGGCATGTTACTTCTTCATCAGGGAAACTGGTCAACATGTGGGGACGTGTTCATGATGCAAGGCAGTGGCAATGGAGGAAGCGGTAGTAACAGTAGAGACAACCAGTCGTCTGATCATGATGCCGTTGACGTGAAGTCATTCATTGTGGACTCGGCGCGTCCAGTTCATGCAACGGGCGACCCGAACCTCTTCTCTTACTTGGAGGATACCACCACCAACATGCGCCTTTGCACGCCAACGGGTCGACGATGGACATAACTGGACGGGGCACCGTGCGGCATCACAACATCACTCTGCACGGCGTCCTGTTGGTGCCCAGGCTAGCTGTGAACATAGTGTCCGTGTCCAAACTCGGCGAGTTGGACTACACTGTTGAGTTCACACGTACCAATTGTTTCATCCGGGGCGCCGGCACAGGGGACCTTGTCGGGGAAGGACACCTCGTCAATGGCCTGTTCGAGCTTGATTTTCTGCAGGCCCCACGCGCCCGACTGTGCTAGTTCCGATCGGCGTTTTAAATCATAGTAATATATACGCTGGTGATCCGCCGGCAAGAAAGGTTCATGGTACGGTGTGTGAAGTGTTTGCCACATAAAATGCTAGTTGGTCAACTGTGGCTCCGACTGATTTGCTTGCCACAAATTGTTCTCATCCTATTCACATGTGCTGTGTGTTACCCATCTTGGAGTGGAGCTATTTACTATGTGATTTGTCTTGTGTACTCTTGGCCCTATTCATCAAGCTATATATGATATTAAGGTTAAGCCAGATAATTGTAATCCCTCCATTTAAAATTATAGATCATATTAGATTTATAGTGAGACAGATTTTCAAACTTTGACAATGATTTAATAATCGAACAGATATTAGCATCCACATGCTCAAATAAATTCACCAATTAGGACATATTTCATACAGAATTTAATAAAGCAAATTTAGTGTATTTTTCACTGAAGCTAGTTAAAGTTTGAGGAGATTTGACTTAGGACAAAACTAAATTGACCTGTAATTTGGAACAGGAGTAGAAAATTTTTGTCGTTTCCTCTAAATATCCCAAAAATAAATTTAGTTTATCATGTGAGTTACAAGCTGTTACTTTCTATACATGAAATGTTTATATTGATTCGCTTTTCTACAAAAGGGTACATATGTATCTTTTGTCATGAACCGTATCCGTTAGCTCCAAGATTTTTCAAGATACCAAGCAATGCTGCAAAAACAAGGAGACAAGACAAGTGCTCATGTGGTGGAGTTGGGGTCGGGATTCTTCCCGGATGCCATGATATTTGATAGGAGCCACTAACATAACTTCCCTTTGTGGTCAATAACACATGGACCTGATAGGCGTGATGCCACAAGTCAGTGAATTTACATCGGAGAAACTACTTCTGCAGCTTATCGTGGTTTGCCATTTTGTGGGCAGGTATGGGAGGAGGATGAGGGGCACAAAGAGAGTGGTTGCTAGAATATTTGGTCCAAAGGCGTTATGAAGCACATGTCTGACAAGCAAGCAGGCATGTGGTCTTGTACCATCCTATGTCCCTATATAACCCATTTTAAGGCACAGTACCTACAAAGTAAAGTAGTTGGATTTACCATCAAGAAGTCTAATGACATTGTAAAATCCCTCTCATCATGGTTCTTCCATGATGCTGTTTAGATATATTTGAGATGATTCTTAGTGTTTTATTATGTTTGTTTCTGGCATTAGGCAGTGTGCTCGCACTTGTGAGGCAAATGAGAGTGCACTAATTCATGCGTCGGTATACTTAAATCATGTGCTCCCATAGATAACTGAGGATGTTTGCTACATGTAATATGTCGGCATCAAAATCAAAATTATGGATTTACATTCAAATTCATGTGTTGAAAGAATAATGCAAATAAAAAATCCAAATAAATTCAAAGTTTGGCCATTGATCGATTTAGATTGTGAGTTTCAACATTTTTTTTTAACTTGGTCTGAATTCGGGATACATTCCATGATTATATTATGTATTTCTGTATGGGAAGGTTTAGGCTTATCATTTTGGGGTATTGTCTATATATGGGTACCAATCAGAAAGAAAGTTAATGAGATACTTGCAGTCATCATCAGCAAGGTCTGGGACGGGAATGAGAATAGTTGAGCGGCAGCCAGCCAGCCACAAGCACGGTACACTGGTGGTGCGCAGCACTTGTTAGCTTGAGAAGCAACGAAAGTGACACACCTGGCTTCACTGTGGCCGGCGAAAAGGCTTTGCCAAGTCCGCCAGAGAGGTGCGGTAGTGTCGATTGGCACCTCGTTACCGTTATGAAAAATACTTGCTAGGTAAGCTCACATGCTCCTGAAATAGATCACAAAAGAGAAGACGATCTGTGCTGTCTTGTTTTGTAAGGGAAAAAGGGCTGGTATGCAAAATCTTGGAGTGCTAGGGCCCAAAAGTGATCAACCAACCAGAAGGGCAGTCTAAGTAAATGGCTGTATATTTTCTTGTTCTCGGAACCTCCATCACGTGCTGTCAGGACTCTCCGAGGCCAGCCAGGTATAGCGACGGCATCGTCTAGTGATGCGAGCCCCGTTCCAGTCCCTCTCCCACGCGTACACTCCAACTTTCGTCTTCCTGCACACCGTCAGCCATGGAAGTCGAAGCTCCACTCCCTGCACTGAAGCCGGGGCGTGCACTGCAAGCGCATGTGCGTCCGATCGACGGACCGCTACTTCTTCAAGTATGATACGATTCTTACCTGACAGGTTCTCTGGTGCAACTGTTTTTGCGATTTACAAATACACATGTACACATTAATATGCATCATCCATGCAATTCATGGCTGAGTCATTTATTAGTTAAATTTGCACGAATCTTTGCTTCACGGTATACCTCTCATTTAGAAAATTCACACAATAATTGTGGGTGCCCACAAATCACTAGCAGTATACCTCATCAATTGATTGAAAATGTTTAACAAAATACGACACCAATGAATACTTTCATTTGCTTGACTATTGGTGTATGTATAAATATTTATGCCAGTAGATAAACATACAAAAGGCACTCCTAAAGTAGTTTCAGGGCTGCAAGAGTAGTGTTCAGATGATTAACTTCTAAATTGTTGCCTCGTTGTGGACTTATTATTAGTTCTGTTTGTACGCAAAACTATTGGGCATGTTACTTCTTCATCAGGGAAACTGGTCAACATGTGGGGACGTGTTCATGATGCAAGGCAGTGGCAATGGAGGAAGCGGTAGTAACAGTAGAGACAACCAGTCGTCTGATCATGATGCCGTTGACGTGAAGTCATTCATTGTGGACTCTGGCGCGTCAGTTCATGCAACGGGCGACCAAACCTCTTCTCTTACTTGGAGGATACCACCACCAACATGCGCCTTTGCACGGCCAACGGGTCGACGATGGACATAACTGGACGGGGCACCGTGCGGCATCACAACATCACTCTGCACGGCGTCCTGTTGGTGCCCAGGCTAGCTGTGAACATAGTGTCCGTGTCCAAACTCGGCGAGTTGGACTACACTGTTGAGTTCACACGTACCAATTGTTTCATCCGGGACGCCGGCACAGGGGACCTTGTCGGGGAAGGACACCTCGTCAATGGCCTGTTCGAGCTTGATTTTCTGCAGGCCCCACGCACTTGACTGTGCTAGTTCCGATCGGCGTTTTAAATCATAGTAATATATACGCTGGTGATCCGCCGGCAAGAAAGGTTCATGGTACGGTGTGTGAAGTGTTTGCCACATAAAATGCTAGTTGGTCAACTGTGGCTCCGACTGATTTGCTTGCCACAAATTGTTCTCATCCTATTCACATGTGCTGTGTGTTACCCATCTTGGAGTGGAGCTATTTACTATGTGATTTGTCTTGTGTACTCTTGGCCCTATTCATCAAGCTATATATGATATTAAGGTTCGCCAGATAATTGTAATCCCTCCATTTAAAATTATAGATCATATTAGATTTATAGTGAGACAGATTTTCAAACTTTGACAATGATTTAATAATCGAACAGATATTAGCATCCACATGCTCAAATAAATTCACCAATTAGGACATATTTCATACAGAATTTAATAAAGCAAATTTAGTGTATTTTTCACTGAAGCTAGTTAAAGTTTGAGGAGATTTGACTTAGGACAAAACTAAATTGACCTGTAATTTGGAACAGGAGTAGAAAATTTTTGTCGTTTCCTCTAAATATCCCAAAAATAAATTTAGTTTATCATGTGAGTTACAAGCTGTTACTTTCTATACATGAAATGTTTATATTGATTCGGCTTTTCTACAAAAGGGTACATATGTATCTTTTGTCATGAACCGTATCCGTTAGCTCCAAGATTTTTCAAGATACCAAGCAATGCTGCAAAACAAGGAGACAAGACAAGTGCTCATGTGGTGGAGTTGGGGTCGGGATTCTTCCCGGATGCCATGATATTTGATAGGAGCCACTAACATAACTTCCCTTTGTGGTCAATAACACATGGACCTGATAGGCGTGATGCCACAAGTCAGTGAATTTACATCGGAGAAACTACTTCTGCAGCTTATCGTGGTTTGCCATTTTGTGGGCAGGTATGGGAGGAGGATGAGGGGCACAAAGAGAGTGGTTGCTAGAATATTTGGTCCAAAGGCGTTATGAAGCACATGTCTGACAAGCAAGCAGGCATGTGGTCTTGTACCATCCTATGTCCCTATATAACCCATTTTAAGGCACAGTACCTACAAAAGTAAAGTAGTTGGATTTACCATCAAGAAGTCTAATGACATTGTAAATCCCCTCTCATCATGGTTCTTCCATGATGCTGTTTAGATATATTTGAGATGATTCTTAGTGTTTTATTATGTTTGTTTCTGGCATTAGGCAGTGTGCTCGCACTTGTGAGGCAAATGAGAGTGCACTAATTCATGCGTCGGTATACTTAAATCATGTGCTCCCATAGATAACTGAGGATGTTTGCTACATGTAATATGTCGGCATCAAAATCAAAATTATGGATTTACATTCAAATTCATGTGTTGAAAGAATAATGCAAATAAAAAATCCAAATAAATTCAAAGTTTGGCCATTGATCGACGAGATTGTGAGTTTCAACATTTTTTTAACTTGGTCTGAATTCGGGATACATTCCATGATTATATTATGTATTTCTGTATGGGAAGGTTTAGGCTTATCATTTTGGGGTATTGTCTATATATGGGTACCAATCAGAAAGAAAGTTAATGAGATACTTGCAGTCATCATCAGCAAGGTCTGGGACGGGAATGAGAATAGTTGAGCGGCAGCCAGCCAGCCACAAGCACGGTACACTGGTGGTGCGCAGCACTTGTTAGCTTGAGAAGCAAACGAAAGTGACACACCTGGCTTCACTGTGGCGGCGAAAAAGGCTTTGCCAAGTCCGCCAGAGAGGTGCGGTAGTGTCGATTGGCACCTCGTTACCGTTATGAAAAATACTTGCTAGGTAAGCTCACATGCTCCTGAAATAGATCACAAAAGAGAAGACGATCTG